TGCCTCTTAATCCTTCTTAAATCCATGCTCTAGGATTCTTCATTGCATTTACCTTTTTCACATGGCTCAAGATTCAAAGAATATCGAGCACACTATCATCACAAACACCTAACACTCCAAAAAGATGCTCATGCTCGATCAAAAGAATCCAAATCGCATAAAAACACCCTACAAATACAAACACAAAAACAAGTGAAGAAAAGGAGAAGATAAAAAAAGAGAAATGAAAATTATAATGAAAAGAGAAAAGTTAGAGGGCTGGGTTGCCTTGCGGAAAGCGCTTGCTTAAGGTTCTTAGCTCGACCCTACCTCCAAATCATTAAGGGTCAAAGAAGACCACCTTGTCCAAAGTGGTGGAGAGGGAAAAGTCATTTCCAAGCTTGGGCAAAACCACATCATGAGACATATCATCTTGCATCATAAAAACCGAATCAAACTTGTTATGCTTCAACTTCTCTTTCTTTTTCTTGAGAATTCTCTTTCTCTTCTTTGTTTTCTTCTTTCTCGGGGCAATGAACTTCATACTATCTATGCCAATATTCTTGCCATCATTCGAAGCAAGTCCAAACCAATTTGGCATCTCAATCACATTCTCAAGCCATGAGGTCTCTTTCTCGCCATCTGATAAGCCTTATTATCATGGGTTGAGAGAAGCATTTTAGGGTGTGTTTTGATGCTTTATATGTACTTTTGTTAGCTTTTGTGAGTTTTGGGCTGTGATCTCACTTATGTGCAAAAGGCGGGATTTATGAGTATAAGTGAGTGAGTGAGCTCGGGAACCAATGAAGAGTTATGTAAGAAGGATGGACCTTGGCTCGTGATTTGAGAGTTGTGATGGAGCATGGAAGAGCAAGGAAGAAAGCTTGAGGAAAAGGTGAAGCAAAGCAAGAAGAAGAAGCAAGGAAAGAAGGCAAAAACAGCAGGAACCGCTGCCAGGGCCGCTGGCAGCTGGCCAGAGCCGCTGGCAGCGGGTATACCAGAGTGAGGGGCTGCCAGAGCAGCTGCCAGCGGGTCCAGAGCAGCTGGCAGCGGCTCTGGCAGAAATTCGGGCTGTTTTGGTTAATTTTCAGCAATTTGGCTTTGTTTTGGCTCGTGTTTTGGATATTATTTTATTATTATTATTGTGTTATGTTATTAAAATATAGAAACATATAAATAGCTTAGTTTTAATTAAGTTTGAAGGGAGAAAAAGGAGAATTAAGTTTTGAGAAAAAAAAGCTTTCTAGGGTTTTCTTGGAATTTTCAGAATTCTTTGTTTTGGAATTAGAATCCATGGAAGCTTAATCTTCCGGATTCTTGGTTAAAGATTGAAGCTTTTAGCTACGAATTGTGAGATCTTTCTTCTCTTAATATCTATTGAATATATATTGTTCCTTAAATTAATTTCATGATTTGCTTTAATCAATTGCTAGGTTAGAATTATTGGATTCGCTTGCATCTAATTAATCTTTCCAAAGTAGCAACTTTAGGTTATTGATGCATGCTTTTGGTTGATAACTTGAAGAGGGAATAATATTATTGAAGAAATTAGACCGCTTGTGTTAATTTATTCAATCCTTGTTGATTTCTCCGTTTATTTTCTTCTTGTGGATAATTTAGAGCGCTTGTCTTGAATTGTGCATTGGAAAGGGTTAGAAAGGAGCGCTTTGCTATTTCTAACTATTTATGAGAATTTAGAATCTAGGAATTCTACAACAAGGTGTTCAATAGAGCTTGATTGAGGAGACTTCTATGATCAATTTGTATGTTCATTAGTGGATTTCGCATAACCAAGACCGTTCTTCTCATTGATTACCTATTCATTACGTTCGTTGTTCTTACTTAGTTCATTTATCATCATTGCTCATGAAAACCCCCCTCGTTACTTAGGTTACTACCGTCCTAGAGTATTTCCACTTAGGTTTCCAGTTATTAGTCCCTTTTTCCCTGTGGATTCGAACTCGACTTCCCTAACTACGTTTATTTGCAGTTAGCTTAGTTGTGATATTTTTGGTTGCATACGACTGAGGCACACCAAATTTTGGCGCCGTTGCCGGGGAATTAAGGCGTTACTTTTTAATTGTTTATCTTAGTAGAATTTATTTTAGGACTGTTCTTAGCTATCTTTCTTTGTTTGTTCGCTAGGGTAGGATAAGTACCCGTTCTGCTAACAAAGAAGTTTTGCAGTTTGATCCAGAAATTGAAAGAAATATTTCAAGGTTGCGAAGAGAGGCAAGAACAAACCCCAGTGAATCAACATACATCTTCAACATTCAAGAGGAGGAAGTGATGGCAGAAAATCGAACACTGAGAGAGCTAACAGCTCCTAACTTGAACCAACAGCCGTTGTGCATCGCATATCAGCAGTTGGAGGAAGGTGCTAATGTTGAGATCAAATCTGGTCTAATTCATCTATTGCCGGCATTCCATGGCATGAAGGGTGAAGATCCAAATAAACATCTGGCAGAATTTCATGTGGTATGTACTAGCATGAAACCGATTGGGATGACTGATGAGCAAATTCAGTTGAGAGCATTTCCTTTTTCTCTCAAAGATGCAGCGAAGGATTGGTTTTACTATCTTCCCCCAGGGAGCATAACAAATTGGGCAGGTTTGAAGAAGTGTTTCTTAGAGAAGTATTACCCAGCCACTATTTCTGCAAGCCTTAAGAAAGCTATCAGCAATGTGGATCAGAAGGAAGATGAGTCCTTGTATGAGTGTTGGGAGAGATTCAAGAGATTGTGTGCTAGTTGTCCGTACCATGGGTATTCCGATCAAGACCTCATCCTATACTTCTATGGAGGTCTAACAGATGATGATTTGAGGATGGTGAATGCAGCAAGTGGTGGAGGGCTAGTGAATAAGACTCCAGGAGATGCAACTAGGTTGATTGCAGAGCTAGCAGAAAATTCTAGGCAATTCAGTCAGAGAACTCCCACGCGCCGGGTGAATTTAGCAAATTCGAATACAACTGAGTTAGAGAGTCAAGTAGCTGATTTGACTTCTATGATGCGTGAGTTCATGGTGAACTCAAGGAATCCACAGCAACTGAATGCTTGTGGTTTATGCACCTCCACAGGACATCCCACTGATGCATGTCCTCAATTACAAGAGGAACAGAATGAGCAGGCCAATGCAATGGGTTTCCAAGGGCAAGGTCCTCAGAGAAGATATGATCCATATTCGAATACATACAATCCAGGATGGAGGGATCATCCAAATTTGAGATATGGGAATTCCCAGGGGAACCAACAACAACAGCAAAATGCTCAAGGCCAGCAGCAATATCAGCAATATAGGGCACCATTAGCCAAACCTCAAGGCCAAAGCTCAAATTCGAGTAATATGTCAACTGAAGAAATGATTAGATCACTAACTTCTAATGTTTCTACTATGCAGCAAAACATGGTGCAATTCCAGCAAGAAACCAAATCCAGTATTCAGAATTTGGAAAGTCAAGTGAGCCAAATTTCAAGTGCAGTGAGCCGACTTGAAGCTAAGGACTCTGGAAAGCTTCCATCCCAAACGGAGCTGAACCCTAAGCAACAAGTTAATGCAATAACATTGAGAAGTGGCAAAAAGTTGCAAGAAACTGTAGTTGCACCTAAGAAGGCTAAAGACTTGATTGGAGTTGAGGAGGAAGAAGTAGAACATGAAGTTGTGGCGAATCCACCAACTTTTCCCTCTTATGAACCCACACCACCTTTCCCTGAAGCCTTGCAAGATACTCGAAGGTATGAGAAAGACAAGGATATTTATGAGACTTTTAGCAAATGTGAGGTAAATATTCCCCTCTTGAATGTGATTAAAAGTATTCCTCGTTTTGCTAAGTTTATGAAAGAACTGTGTACTATCAAGAGAAAGCATAGGTTGGGAGGAAAAGAGAAGGTAAAGGTGAGTGCTCATGTTTCTGCGGTTTTCCAAAAGAAAATCCCAGAAAAATGTGGTGATCCTGGTATGTTTATTGTTCCTGTTACAATAGGAGACACCACATTTCACCGAGCCATGTTGGACCTAGGTGCATCAATCAATGTCATTCCCTACTCCCTGTTTAAATCTTTAGAACTTGGGCCTTTGCATGAAACTGGGGTAGTAATTCAGTTAGCTGATAGGTCCAATGTATATCCTAAGGGGGTGGTGGAAGATGTGTTGGTTAAGGTTGATGGTTTGATTTTTCCTGCTGACTTTTATGTGCTTGACATGGAACATGACAAACAAGCAGTCCCCATCTTGTTAGGAAGACCTTTCTTAAAGACTGCTAAGACAAAAATCGATGTGTCTACCGGTTCTTTGACTATGGAGGTTGATGGGAAAGCAATTGTGTATAACATTTATGATACCATAAAGTATCCTGTTGATACTCATTCTTTATATTCTATAAATGTTGTCGATCCAATATTGCATGATGTTTCTAACATTGATCATGGGGATGAGCTCCTCACACCTATTACTAATGTTGTGTCTGGTGATTGCTTGGATTCTTCTATACCTACTAATGTGCAGGTGAAGGTGGCGGAATTGAATGAACAGTCCAAGCTTCCACCTATACCACTAGGGGCAACACCCACCCCGTCATCATTTCCGGGCAAGAAATTATCCCAGGTATACCACAAAGCAAAGAATAAGGTGTGGCATGACAAGATGAGCTCCCGTTGGAAGGGTCCAATTCAAGTTGACAAGGTCTATCCGCATGGAGCGGTAGAAATTCGGAGTTTAGAGACCAACAACATGTTCAAAGTGAATGGAAAAAGGCTCAAACCCTACTTCGAGGGTTTCAAAACCGAGAACGTGGAGTGCATCGATCTCTACGAGCCATCAATGGAGTAGCGAAGTGGGATGAGCCGCGTCGAGCCAACGACGTAAAACAAAGGCGCTAATCGGGAGGCAACCCGATCGAAAATCTTCCCCATTTCTTCTTGTAGTTTAGTTTTTTATTTTTCTTGTGATGTGAAGAGTATTTTTATTGTGTTTGTGTAGGTGGATGCCTTGGGAGTATTTGTTATGCGCGAAGAGCAGCAAAATCAGAGCAAAACAGGCCAAAGGGGGGCTATCCCTGCAGTAGTCGCTGGCAGCTGCTCTGCAGCCGCTACCAGCGGGTCTTCCAGCAGCCCAACCTCCCCTTTTGCTGTCCCAGCCGCTGGTAGCTGCTCAAAAGCCGCTGCCAGCGGGTACCCCCCCTCCACGTTTATTTTTTCTAAAAAAAAAAAAAAAAAAAAAAAAAAAAAAAAAAAAATTTACGCAGTATAGCCGCTGCCAGCGGGTCTTCCAGCAAAGAAGATCCAAAAGCTCTGCTTTAGCCGCTGGCAGCGGGTCCCAAGCCGCTACCAGCTGCCTTTCCAGCCTTTCCTGAATTTTTCACCCTTTTTGACCCATTTCTTGATTTCTAAAATCCAATTCATCCTTCTTCTCTTTCCCTTAGCAATCCCACACTCATACTCCCAAACCCTAACCCAATATTTCCTACACACAATCCCTTTCCCTCACTTTCAAAGACAATTCAACCTAAAATTGTTTCAATTTCTCAATTTCACACTTGGCATTTGAGGAATTGTGAGAACCTTGGTGTTTGGAGGTTTGGTGGTGTGTTCATTGTGCTTTGAAGAATAAAGTGTGAGTTGTGCAATTCATTCTTAAGCAATGGGAAGAGACAACAAGGTGATACTTCAAAAGAGGGTGAATCACCCTCTTTTCCCCAAGCAAGTGACTTCATGGGAATTAGGCTCACTACAAAGGAGCAAGCTATTTGAACTCCAACAACCCAAGAGTATAGTGCAATGCACAAAGTTCTTCGATTTGGAGGCATTGCAAGAGGTTGGTTTGGAGGAGGTGATGGAGCACGAGCGCACCTACTTATGTGAGGTATACATGAATTCCTTTCCACTTTGACTAAGGGATGTCAAGAATTTCTTTCAATTTTAACAATAAGAACTATATCATGCCTTATGCGGTAATTAAAAATGCTTTTGGTTGGAATGATCTTCCCATGGGCAACACTTGGGGTCCCCATAGTTCATTTTTTCTTCTCGAAATTTTTGAAATCCTTGATAATGCCTAATCTTCCGGCTCCGGAGGTCCTTCTCCTTGAGGTTTTGCATCCTTCTTCCTTTCCCATACTTTTGTTTTAATTGTTGTTGTTCTTGCATTGAGGACAATGTTTCATTCAAGTAGGGGGGGAAGCAATTCTTTCATATCATTACAAATTGTATAGTTATCTTAATTTGATGGTTTTGTATAGCTATTTCAATTGTGTTTCAATGAAAAAAAAAATGCAAAATGAAAAAAATGAAAAATGAAAAGAAAAAAAAGGAAAAAAGAAAAAAAAAGAAAAAGAAACCCGCTAAGTTGAAAACCTGTAAAGGCGGCTTAGGCAAAAATGGGGGCCCGGTTAGGTTGAAAACCCGAAAGGGCGACCTAAGCAAAAAAGAGGCTAATGAGCGGGTGATATAGTGAGATTTGAAAAAAAGAAGAGAGGCTAGGATGAAAACCCGAAAGGGCTCCTAGGCAAAATGAGAGAAAAAAGAGAGAAATGTTCATGAATTTGATTTTTCAAGGAAATTTCGCATCTATTTGCCGGAGTCGGTGTCATAAGGGGAGGAGATATAAGGAGGTGTCGGGGTAGGTTTCATCTTGGTGATTTTGGGAGATAGTTGAGATTTTGGGGGAATTTGTTGATCATCTTAGGAATTTGAGAGCATGAGTTGTTTGTTTTCACTCTTGAATGTGGAAGTGTTTTTATGAGATTTTTGGTTAAGTTGAGTTTTTGTTTGCCCAATTTTATCAAAAATTTCATTTTTTTAGGCGGTTGAGAATATTCATACTCATGGCTATGCGTTATCGTTCCAAGTTGATTTTGGGGATGAATTGATAAATAAGAAAAAAGGGAGATTCAAAGTGTGAAGTATGGGGGAGTGTGATTGTGATTGGTTGATAAGTACTAGGATGTTTTGTTGAGTTTGAGTGCATAGAGCTAGTTTGATTCCACCATCTTCTGTTTTGAACCTTAGTGAGGAGGATGTGTTTTATTCTCTAAGTTTACTCGAGGGCGAGTAAAGGTTCAAGCATGGGGGAATTTGATAAGCCTTATTATCATGGGTTGAGAGAAGCATTTTAGGGTGTGTTTTGATGCTTTATATGTACTTTTGTTAGCTTTTGTGAGTTTTGGGCTGTGATCTCACTTATGTGCAAAAGGCGGGATTTATGAGTATAAGTGAGTGAGTGAGCTCGGGAACCAATGAAGAGTTATGTAAGAAGGATGGACCTTGGCTCGTGATTTGAGAGTTGTGATGGAGCATGGAAGAGCAAGGAAGAAAGCTTGAGGAAAAGGTGAAGCAAAGCAAGAAGAAGAAGCAAGGAAAGAGGCAAAAACAGCAGGAACCGCTGCCAGGGCCGCTGGCAGCTGGCCAGAGCCGCTGGCAGCGGGTATACCAGAGTGAGGGGCTGCCAGAGCAGCTGCCAGCGGGTCCAGAGCAGCTGGCAGCGGCTCTGGCAGAAATTCGGGCTGTTTTGGTTAATTTTCAGCAATTTGGCTTTGTTTTGGCTCGTGTTTTGGATATTATTTTATTATTATTATTGTGTTATGTTATTAAAATATAGAAACATATAAATAGCTTAGTTTTAATTAAGTTTGAAGGGAGAAAAAGGAGAATTAAGTTTTGAGAAAAAAAAGCTTTCTAGGGTTTTCTTGGAATTTTCAGAATTCTTTGTTTTGGAATTAGAATCCATGGAAGCTTAATCTTCCGGATTCTTGGTTAAAGATTGAAGCTTTTAGCTACGAATTGTGAGATCTTTCTTCTCTTAATATGTATTGAATATATATTGTTCCTTAAATTAATTTCATGATTTGCTTTAATCAATTGCTAGGTTAGAATTATTGGATTCGCTTGCATCTAATTAATCTTTCCAAAGTAGCAACTTTAGGTTATTGATGCATGCTTTTGGTTGATAACTTGAAGAGGGAATAATATTATTGAAGAAATTAGACCGCTTGTGTTAATTTATTCAATCCTTGTTGATTTCTCCGTTTATTTTCTTCTTGTGGATAATTTAGAGCGCTTGTCTTGAATTGTGCATTGGAAAGGGTTAGAAAGGAGCGCTTTGCTATTTCTAACTATTTATGAGAATTTAGAATCTAGGAATTCTACAACAAGGTGTTCAATAGAGCTTGATTGAGGAGACTTCTATGATCAATTTGTATGTTCATTAGTGGATTTCGCATAACCAAGACCGTTCTTCTCATTGATTACCTATTCATTACGTTCGTTGTTCTTACTTAGTTCATTTATCATCATTGCTCATGAAAACCCCCCTCGTTACTTAGGTTACTACCGTCCTAGAGTATTTCCACTTAGGTTTCCAGTTATTAGTCCCTTTTTCCCTGTGGATTCGAACTCGACTTCCCTAACTACGTTTATTTGCAGTTAGCTTAGTTGTGATATTTTTGGTTGCATACGACTGAGGCACACCACCATCACTAACCAATTTGTTATCATAGGTTATAGAAGCATTGTCACAAGCTCCAACAAAATCATTAGTAGACAACGAAAGAGTGCAAGGAATACCATTCAAATGAAGCGAATTAATGCACATAATTCCTTGCACAAAAGAAAGGGACTCATGCATGGGTTTAAGCTTAAAACTAGCCGAATAATTCCCAACACACAAAGTAGTAATGCCACCTTTCACATCTATCAAGGCACTCGAAGTTTCTAAGAATGGTCTCCCTAGAATGATAGGAATATTGTCATCTTCCGCAATCTCTAGCATAGTGAAGTCAACGGGGATAGTGAACTCTCCTATCTTGAGGGGGACATCCTCAATTCTACCCTTGGGGAACTTAATAGAACTGTCGCCCAATTGTAGGGTCATATTGTTTGGGAGGAGCTCACTTAGCTTAAGCTTCTTGAAGACAGAATATGGCATTATGATAACACTAGCACCAAGGTCACAAAGAGCATTTTGAAACACTTTTCCATTGATGTTGCAAGGTATTGAAAAATTACCCGGATCTTTAATCTTCTTGGGTAAGTCATTGTGGATAAGAGCACTACAACACTCCCCAACCTTCACCGATTCAACCTCATTACGCTCTCTTTTTCCACTCAAGATTTCGTAAGGAACTTAGAATAGTTTGGCATTTATTTCAAAGCATCGATGAAAAGGATAGAAAGATGAATTTCCTTAAGTATGTCAATAAATCTTCCAAATTGATCATCAATCTTGCTCCTCAAGAACTTTTGTGGGTAGGGAAGTTTGGGTTTGATCACATAATTTTGCATACTCTCTTCAATCTTGACCTTCTCATTGGCATCCTCACACTTTTTGTTAGACACGTCATGCTCATCCTCATCAAGTGAATCACTCACCTTCTCAACTTCTTTACTCTTTCCAGAAACACTCTCTTCAAGGACCTTACCACTCCTAGTAGTGATTGAATAAACCGGTTTCTTAGGTTCAATCCCTTGAGAAGGTAGAGAAGTAGGACTAGCACTCTCTTTCAAAGTGTTAGCTAGTTGAGTGATTTGAGTTTCAAGCATCTCGCTATGTGTCTTCATTTCATTGAATTTCTTATCACTAACCGTCATCTATATGTTCAAAATCTTGGTTTTATTTTTAATTATCTCTTCCAAATTAGACTTAGAAGAAGGAGAAGGAGGTTTAGCATAGGAATTATAACCTTGACCTTGGGTCTTTGGAGCAAAACCCGGTTGGGATCCCTTTGAGCATTGTTTTAAAAATTTCCCTTATTTTGATTGTTCCAATTACCCCAATTTTGACTTTGGCCATAGCTTTGATTATGGTTACCATAACCTTGATTATTATGACCATAACCTTGACTTTGATTTTGGCAACTATAATCTTGGTTGTTATAGTTACCCCGGAAACCTTGGTTTCCTTGGTTCCTATAGCCACTACCTTGGTTATAGTTGTCAAAATTGCCTTGGTTGTGATAGTTCCTATTCCCTTGGCCTCTTTGATTATCAAACCTTGAACCATTGCTATTATTAGACACATATGCTCACTCTCATTACAATCAAAATCATCATATCCATCCGAAAAGGCATGAGGGAAACTAAATGAATCATGCTCATACAAACCACATATATCACAAAACAAACATCCACTAGGCATGTTATTGGGAGTAGAAAAAGGAGTAAAGTTAGAAGATGTACCTCTCCCCTTATTTTGGGAGGGAAGAGTAGGTGTTAGAGATGAAACACTCTCCAATTTGGCCTTGATGGATGTCATCTCCTTCCCTAGATTTGAGATTTGTGAGGATAAGTTGTTGATCGCATTGAGGTGATCAACGGCGTAAACCGTAGAGCCACTCTTGCTTGTCGATTCTCGCTCACCGTCTTGCCAATCCATGTAATGCCTCACTACATCTTCAATGATATCCACAAATTCCTCTTCCATTTTATTCATATTGGGTCCTCCAGCTCCCGCATCAAGACAAGACTTCCCTTGAGGGCTTAAACCACCATAAAAGATATGAATGATTTGATAGGTAGGAATTCCATGGTGAGGACACTCTCTTTGATAATCCTTGTACCTTTCCCAAGCTTCATTGAGGCTTTCATTGGATCTTTGCTTGAAACTTTGGATAAGTTCTCTTGCCTCTGCCATTTTCTTTTGGGAGTAAAACCGGGATAGAAATTCCCTAGAACCTCATCCCATGTCCTAGTAACCACATTCCAAGGAACGCCTTATGAGAGAAAAGGGAAAAAGCTTCAAACAAATGAACTCTTGTGAAACTCCGTTCACTTTTGATAATGTTGCAATACTTCTCAAATTCTTTGAGGTGGTTTAGAGGACTCTCGTGCTTGACCCCCCCCCCACTAAATTGTCGCCTCTCCATCAAAGTGATCATTGTCGGTCTAATTTCAAAATCATTTGCCGGTGTTGTAGGTGGAGCAATCCCGCTCTCGAACCTATATGCACCCGGAATTCCCAATTCCTTCAATACCACTCTTGGATTTTCTCCCATGCTTGCTTGTGCTTCTTCTTGTGGTTCTTCTTCACTTGGAGGGCTAGTACTCAGAGAGCAACAAGGAACTCTTATCTTTGTAATTGTCCTGTCTATATCCGGATCAAATGACACTAGAGAACGACCACGTGCTCTATGCATACAATCTAAAAAGAAAATATTAGTAGCACGACTACTAATGTAGCCAAAAAGGGAAATTTTTTTTGTGTTTTTTAAATAAGATGAAATAGACTCAACAACTATAGTAAACAACTACGCATTTCCCCGGCAACGGCGCCAATTTGATAGGAGGTGTTTAAGAACGTCGTTAAATGCTTAAACCTTATCAACAAAACTTATAACACTCAACCAAACCTAAACCGAGTATAGGACAAGTCGAGCGTCGAACCACAAGTAATGGGGGGTCAATCACTATAGTCTATGTGTAAAGGTATTTCGAAGAGTGTATGAATGTGTAGTCAAGTGAGCTAATCAAACCAAGCAAAATTTGATAAAAAATCAAAATCAAAAGCACTAGGGATTAGGATCCACATACAATCATGATAGTTATGCTAATTGAAGGAAAATCAATCAACCAAATGTTGTAAAGGAAAATAGTAATTGCAATTAAGAGAATCCAATAGGTTATCTCCTAGAAGTCAAGCTAGGTTTCCTCTATGAATGACTAGCAAGAAGAATCACAAATCAAATTCAATCGATAAATGTAATCCCTAAATCAATGGTTCATGTCATTAGAGATCACAATGTAATCTAGCTTGAAAATCAAGGTTAGCTCATCCTTAGCCATTCAAACACGTGCACAATTCTATCAACCAATTTAATCACATCATTTAATCAATAAAAATCCAACAATTAGAAATGATCCATCATTCATGCATGTTTCACCATCACCCTAGCAAGTAATCTACTCACTAAGAATGGTGGAAATGAAGAACAAATCTAAACTAGCCATCAAAATCATCATCGTCATTGCAAACAAACTATTAAGAATCAAATCAATCAATAAACTTGAAAATGCAACAAATGATCAAAATCAAATGCAAAAGATTGAATTAAGAAGAACAAGATTCTTACAAACTTTGATCAAATCAAAGGAATTGTGCTTGCATTCAAAGTAGAAGGAAATAAAATGTAGAAATCATCCAATTCTCTCAAGTTTTTCTCTCTCAAATCTAAAAACTTTCTCTCTCTAACTTTCAAAAACTAACTTCTCCAAACTCTCTCCAACCTCCCCTCTAAAAATAGAAGGAAATCCTATATATAGTAAAACTAACTACGGAGAAATAAGTTGGGCGTCCTAAAGAAACCCTTACAGGCGTGCCATTACTCCGAAATGCGCAGCCGCGTAGAAAAGGGTACGGAACTGGGAACTCAGGTGGCGCGCCCGCGCCACCAGCTTGTGCGCCTGCACCCCAGGATTAGGGGATCTCCTCAGTGCGTCCATCAATGCAAGAGGTGCACTCCTCTTGATCGTCATTGGGGATGTCAGTCCTAAAATGAGTTTATGGTGGGTTCAACACCATACTTTCATGAGAGCGCATCATGAGGGCGCAAGCATCAAGTCTTGGAGTAAGCCATCCCTTGCTTTATGAGCCACAAGAGAGCATCTACCTTGCACTTTAAGCATGTTCTAACCCGAGGAATCACCATGAAGGGCCTTGGACTCCACCTTTCTCTTGGAAATAAAGAAAAGCAACCTAGTAAAAGGGAAAAGACGATAAAAACTACGAAAATACAAGAAAAGGGAGAAATAATTAGAATGAAATCAACTAGAGAATAAAAGACTAAAACTAAGGAAAAGACATAAAGAAAGCCATAAAAGCAACTACAATCATCCCAAAATAATGCTATTTGAGTGCCATAAATGCCACTCATCAGTTAGCGGCTTAGAAATTTTAGAAAAATCTTTGATAAGCGACGATGGAACCCCACATGACCAAGAAAACTCCTAACCCCTTAATGTTAACTAGTGAAGGTAATTTTCAATCACTGAAACTTTTTCTCTATCTACCTGTATACCCTTATCAGATACAATATGATCTAAGACCACACCTTCTGTCACCATAAAGTGACATTTTTTCAAATTTAAAACCAAATTGCATTCTTCACATTTTTTCAAAATTTTAGTAAGATTAGCTAAACATGCATCAAATGAAGCCCTTACACATTAAAATCATCCATAGAGACTTACATGATAAACTCTATGAATTTAGAAAAAATGCTCATCATATAATGTTGAATGGTAGTAGTGTAAATGTTGTTTTCTCTTGATCTTTAGGGTGAATTTGAATTTGAAAAAATCCCGAGTACCCATCCAAATAACAAAAAATTTATGATTAGCTAACCTTTCTAACATTTGATCAATAAATGGGAGAGGGAAGTGATCTTTCTAAGTGGCAATATTTAATCTACGATAATCAATGGACATACGCCGCCCAGTTATAGTTCTAGTGGGAATTAATTCACTTTTATCATTTTTAACTACTGTCATTCCACCCTTTTTAGGAACTACCTGTACATGACTTACCCACTTTGAGTAAAAAATCGGACAGATAATACCTGCATCAAGTGAGAAAGGAGAGGTTTAAGTTCACACAACTAGAAAATAGGAAAATTCCGACGGACTGGTTCCGCTGGACACGAAATTCTGTCGAAAAAAGTGAAATTTCCGACGGATTTATGTTTTTTCGGATATTTCGGACGAATTCTACAATTCCGTCGGAAATCCGTTGAAAATTCCCTCAGAAATGTAATCCGTCGAAATATATGTGCTTTTCGACGGATATTTCCGTCGTAATTTACATTTTCCGACGGATTTATAGTCCGTCGGAAATTTTCGACGAAATTTCCGTCGGAATATAATTTAAAAAAAAATTAAAACCCTTTTTACCAAACCCTAAAACGCAGCCCCTTCCACCTTCTATTTTCGCCTCTCTTTCTCTCTCCTCTTCTCCTTCGTTCTCTGCTGCTCTTCTTCTTCTTATTTTCTTTTCTCCTTCTCTTTCTCTCTCCTCTTCTCCTTTTCTCCTTCGTTCTCTACTGCTCTTCTCCTTCTCTCTTCACTTTCCTCTTCTCCTTCCCTTTCTCTCTTCTCTTTCCTTACTTTTTTCCGCCTCTTTCTTCTCTCCTCTTCTTTCATATCGGCCACCAACACCCAACAACAACAACCAACATCAACATCATTAACGAAAATCGACATCACCAACAACTAACAACAACAACGACGACCACAACACCACCGTCATCACCAACAACCAACAACCAACAACAACAGCGACCACAACACCACCGTAATCACCAACAACCAATAACAACGGCGACCACAACACCACCACCATCGTGCAAAAACAACACAGGCGACCCCAATAACACCACCACTGTCGCGAAAATCATCATCTGCACAAGTGTTGTATATCTTGTTTTAATTTAGGTTAGATTGTAGATCTAGTTTTATTTTTTAATAAATTTCTAATTTTGGTTGATTTTTCAAGTAATTGTAATATTAGTTTATATATTTTTGTGGATAATTGTATAATTATTTAATTCCTTATAATTTTTGTGGTTAATTTTATTTTTATTTTTATTGAAATTCGGAAT